AGGAGTGGGGCTTGCATGGCTGGGGAGGGGAGGGGGAACCAAGGATGGGGGGTGGGGCGGGTGGGTGAAGCCCCGCCCTTCCCCAACCCTCGAGCCCTGCCTGCTGCTGTTTCAGCCAGCGTCTTCGTCTACGAGCTCAGCGCGATCCTCATCCACCGAGGGGTCAGCGCCTACTCGGGCCATTACATCGCCCACGTGAAGGACCCCCAAACCGGGGAGTGGTACCGGTTTAACGACGAAGAGATCGAGAAGATGGAAGGCAAGAAGCTGCAGCTGGGAGCGGAAGAGGAACTGGGTAAATGAGGGACCCAACTCGGCTGGCCCCCACTCAGCCGGGACACGTGCGTGTGTGCCCGCCCTCCTACGACTTGGCCCAGCGGAGAGTGTCTCGGGGTGGGGGGGGTGGGGGGCAGAGAGAAACGAGATCAAAGGTCCCCAACATTTGCTTCCTTTGCCTTCTGTCTCTCCCCCCCCAAAAAAAAACCCCTCCTGCAGAACCCTCTAAGTCTCAGTCTCGGAGGCCCAAGTGTGGGAAGGGGACTTACCGCTCCCGGAATGCCTACATGCTGGTGTATCGGTTGCAGTCGCGGGAGAAGTCCCTGGCTGTTGAACTCCCAGGTGAGGCTCCCGCCTTTCCCGCTCTCGGCCTTTTCCCCCGCTCTCCCCGCAACGTGTCAGCCACCACGCAGGCCGCGTGGGCGTGTCAGGGCCCCTCCGGACACGCTGGAAGCGCGCGAGGGTTAAAAGCAAAACTTTTCAGGACTGGGGCTGTGCCGCGTCCTTTTGGGAAGACGCTTTCGTTCTCCCTGAGTCCAAGGGAGGGTTTGTGGACGGAGGCTTCCTCCCTTGGGGCTCTCTTTGAGCAGCTGTGGTATGTGGGTGGGTGGGTGGGTGGGTGGAGTCTCCCTGGGCCAAGGAGGAGGAGGGGGCGGGGCCCCTCCTCCCCCCCCCCCCCCCCGTCTTAGCTTTCCTGCAGGAGCTGGTGGATGAGGACAACAGCAGGTTTGAGGAGTGGTGCCACGAAATGGCCGAGATGCGGAAGCAGAGCGTGGCGCGGGGCAAGGTCAAGCACGAAGAGGTGAAGGAGCTCTACCAGAAGTTGCCTGCCAAAGCTGGTCTGTAAGACCTCCCAATTACGTGTCTCTTTTTCTCTAGGGCAGCTCTGGGCAGAGGCTGAAGGGGAGGAGAGGGATTGGGGGCAGCTCGGGCCTCTT